CTGATGGCCAAATGTTCTTCCCAAGGACTGACAGTCTGTCGGCTTGGTGTTCTACAACACCACACCTCATGCACTTAACCCTCAGGAGTGTACTAGACTCTAAGCTACTTAAGCTATCCAGCTTTACATGGGTCTCTATAGTATCATTTTCCCATAAATTTTTAATGGCGTCACAAACAGGTGAAGCTGTAATGTTAACCTTTGAGACGGGGCAGCTTGCCAGCATCGTGCCGTCACCTGCGGAATAGTGCAACCTGATGCAGGTACACTACCCATCACTCAGCTGTTATGTGGGCGATCATCTTGTAATACGAACAGTCTCCAGTGTCATATGCCCACTTTCAGAATTATTAACAAACATCAAAGGATAAGTGTTAATTTGTTATGAGCCTGGCTTGCTTGAAATGGTTGTAGTTCACAACTCCCTATGCTGTTGGCAGCCAGATCTGCCCTATCATCCATTTCCCAGGAAGAGGGTTATAGGGTTGCACAATGGCCATAATTTACTAAGCACCTTTTTTGAAACATTTTTCACTGTGAATTATCTTCAGAAACATGATGGATGATCTTCACATGTGTCTCAAAAGCTGGTAGCCATTGCTGATGATGAACGTATTTATACAGCATGAGGGACTTCTGTTATGGAGTTGCCAAGTCATTAATTACCGCGATTAGTGTTCATGGTGACTTGTGCAACTATTACATACAGTCAGTAGTTCAAACGTGCCGTTATGATCCCGCTGGTGATCCGGCACAAGACTTGTGGCATTTGCCGATGTAATTTCAGTAATTGCATGTTGTAGTTGGTCCCAGCATTGTAATGACACAGAGTGGAGTGGTATTCAGTCACTGACAACGGAACATATTGGTTGCGCTCCGGTGAACTGTAAACCTGGGTATGGATGAACGTCACTCGACCCACACAAGAATTCACGTCTGCTCTTAGGAAGCAGATTCCGGGCAGATTATCAGACCAGAATTGGGACCATGCCAAGCAGCCATTGTTTGCAAATCTCTCTTCAACCAGATTTACATGAAGCAAAAACAGAGGTCTTGTACTTCTGCCATGGCCTTTTGATATGTCGTGAATGTGCAGCCTTGATAAACACTGGCCAAGGTCCAATTGAATTACTTCAATAATGTTTGGATAATGTGAACATTATTAATCAGGTTGTAAATTGGACTTCTTTGGACTTCAATGCAGCTGACCAGCTGTGGCCACGGTTAGTGTTGACTTTAAGAAGTGGCCATATCATGTCCATGTTTCCGCATGTTCCAGACTCTGTTTGACCTGTGGACCCTGTTTGTGGTTGGAGTCACAGGTCATCCTGATCATATTTGTGGTTTGGGGGGCAGTGGGGTAGCCCAGTGGTTAAAGCGTTTGCTCGTCACTCCGAAGACCTGGGTTAAGACCCACTGTCTCAATAATGTGCAGACACAAGGCCTCAATAATCTACTGACACAAGGCCTCAATGTGTACAGACACAAGGCCTCAATAAAGTTGACACAAGGCCTCAATAATGTACAGACACAAGGCCTCAATAATGTAAGACACACGTTCTCAATGTACAGACACAAGGCCACAATAAAGTTGACACAAGGCCTCAATAATGTACAGACACAAGGCCTCAATAATGTAAGACACACGTTCTCAATGTACAGACACAAGGCCTCAATAAAGTACACAAGATCTCAATGTACACACAAAGGCCTCAATGTACAGACAATGTACAGACACAAGGCCTCAATAATGTAAGACACACGTTCTCAATGTATAGACAGACACAAGGCCTCAATAATGTACAGACACAAGATCTCAATGTACTGACACAAGATTTCAATAATGTACAGATACAAGACCTCAATGTACAGACACAAGACCTCAATGTACAGACACAAGATCTCAATGTACAGACACAAGACCTCAATGTACACACACAAGACCTCAATGTACAGACACAAGACCTCAATGTACAGACACAAGACCTCAATGTACAGACACAAGACCTCAATGTACAGACACAAGACCTCAATGTACAGACACAAGACCTCAATGTACAGACACAATACCTCAATGTACAGACACAAGACCTCAATGTACAGACACAAGATCTCAATGTACACTTTCAATGTACAGACACAAGATCTCAATACAAGACCTCAATGTACAGACACAAGGCCTCAGTAACATTTTGTAACTTGTTCCCAAAAATATACGGGTCCACACAATTTGCCAATAATTCACAGTCACTAGTTCACAATAATGTTGTGTCACAGTTGCCAAATATGTACTGACATTAATTACAATAATGTTCTAAACATAACCAATGAAATACCCTGTTTTCATTAAATTGACTATCAGATATGTTGTTTATGTATTGTGTAGTATAAACAATATTAGGAGTAATATTAAATCAGTTCATTATTGACTTTTAGGAAAGGTAATGCCTAAAAAATATATCTTCAGTAGGATCAAAATCGATTTGTCATCCCGTACGTGATGAAAATCCATGTGCATTTTGGTAACCTTGAAAACATTTACAAAGTGCTCATTGTGTCGAATGCTGTGATCAGGGCCGGTGAATGACTCACCGTTTGTGGACATACTGGTGCAGGTTATTTGCATCGATATATCTTCTGGATAGTTCCCGTGTTTACAATACCTTGCTCTTATAGCAAGGCCTTTGTTCTGTTCAGGGTGTCGTTTGTCCGATGTGTTTGCTGTAGAGAATATTGATAATGTTGATCACACAGCAGAGTATTTCAGAAAACTCATGTTTGATGTGTGCCTCTCCAAGTGTTTTCAATCGTTTGTGTGTTTGGTCTGTTTCTTCAATAATTGATTGGTTTTCTTGTGAACAAAATAGTGTTTTGAAATGGTGCTTGTGACGACCTATCAGGAAATGATACCCGTGACTAACTCTTTCATGTGTATTTTTTATTGTATCTGAAGTAATACAATATTTGCCTGTTTTTGGTGCTGACTCCTGAAGTGGGCCCCACCTAGTTAAGGCCAATAGTTCATACTGGTGATAAATCGTGTATATCCTGCAGACACCTTGCTGTATGTTTGATGAGTCGGCAGAAATAATTCCTTTGTTAGCTGTTTACATTTGTTAGAGACAGTTGCCAGCCAGGTGTGTGGACGTCTGAAAAATAACTGGTTAGTTTTTCTGGGGTGGTGTAATGTTCCTGATGCTGTCATCTTATGACTGAACTCAAACATTCACTGATCCATTCATTCACTCACTCACTCACTCACTCACTCACTCACTCACTCACTCACTCACTCACTCACTCACTCTCACTCACTCACTCACTCACTCACTCACTCACTCACTCACTCACAAAACCCGTGAAGATCCGGGTTAGAATTGATCATCAGTAACCCATGCTTGTCATAAGAGGCTCGGGTGGTCTGGCTTGCTGACGTGGTTGACACATGACATCGGTTCCCAATTGCGTAGATCGATGCTCATGCTGTTGATCACTGGATTGTCTGGTCCAGACTCAGTTATTTACACACTGCCGCCATATAGCTGGAATATTGCTGAGTGCGGCGTAAAACTAAACCCACTCACTCACTCACTTGTTGCAGCTGTGTCACATAGGCTTTATCCTGTGTCTTGTTACAGCTGTATGTCACATAGGGCTTATCCTGTGTCTTGTTACAGCTGTATGTCACATAGGGCTTATCCTGTGTCTTGTTACAGCTGTATGTCACATAGGGCTTATCCTGTGTCTTGTTACAGCTGTATGTCACATAGGGCTTATCCTGTGTCTTGTTACAGCTGTATGTCACATAGGGCTTATCCTGTGTCTTGTTACAGCTGTATGTCAGAGACACCTGCAGCTGGCTGAGACTTTGCTTGTCAGTGGCATAATGCTGAGTACAGATAGGTCAGCAGGCCTTTGTTCTGACCATGATGTCCGTTCGTCAGGCACAGTTACCATATACTTTGATGTAGGATGTTGTGGTGACCTTACAATATGAATGGTCAATGATTGGAGAGGGTGGGAGATGATTGGATGGATACTGACTGGAGAGGGCTAGAGATCACTAGAATAAGATACTGATTTTATGTTTGTTTTTACATCAGAAGTGCTACACAATACGACTAATTTATAACAGGGATTGTTTGTAATACATATTTTTGAGTTGCCTTGCCATTGATTGCTTCTTGTAGTTGGAAGTCAAACTGCCCAAGTTTTTGTACAGTTTCTGAAAGAAAGCAAACAAATACCGTTAGAACATTTACTAAAATAACACCTTTCAAGAAAAATGTCAAGCTGTTATGGAATTTGTTTCCATTAAGGGCTGGCTGATCCAGAGTTGTCTGTCCCATTCAGCATGCTTGGACCAAAGAAGTTTGCCAGTGGTTGATTCAGTGTCATTCACTGAGGATGGATTCTGAGGGAAACTGTAATAGTCCTGATGCTATGAATGGTTGATTCAGGGCTCCATTGTTTCATATAGTGTATGCGGCAGTGGGGTAGCCTAGTGGTTAAAGCGTTCGCTTATCACGCTGAAGACCCGGGTTCGATTCCCCACATGGGTACAATGTGTGAAGCCCATTTCTGCTGTCTCCTGCCATGATATTGCTGGAATATTGCTAAACACGGTATAAAACTAAACTCACTCATAGAGTGAACCATTGGCTTAAACCATGCTTAACCATCTTTAATGATGGCTGCTCTCGAGGTTTAATAATGAATTTCATCACCGCACAAGCAGTGATGTCTGATTGTATGACTTGTCTTTTGAGTGGAACTGTTCAGTGTAGGAGGTGGTGAGAAAACTTAATGTGTCATTTGAAGAGGCCAGTTCGAGGTGTGTCATTGAGATGTTTCATTTGAAGACAGTGGGTAAATGAACTCGCGTATAAAACTCTCTCTGTGTACACCCTCACCTGTGAAATGTCAAGAAAATGTGATTGCAGTTCAGTATCAACAGATGTTTTATGTCTGTCAATGGACTACTTTATTTTTGTTTCTTTCAGAGACCATCAAACACGTGCGCTTGTCCCGACAAACCTCCCAGCAGTCCAGCATGGAGCTTTCTCACTCTCGCCTGGGGTCTGAGTTCCAAGCTCAATGATCCGATGTGGTGGCAGCCACTTGCTGATTGGTCAAGGAGTGACCACGCAACCACACCTCCATGGCCAGGCATTGAGCCCCTTCGCACCCTGGTTTTATGCCTTCCAGGCCTCGCTCTTATCTCAGACGATGCTAGCGCTGATAACAGAGAAGCTTCAGAACCAATCTCTTGATGATGCAGCCGCAGCAGCAGCCGCTGTTTCAGCCAATCAGGCAGCTAGACACTTGAAAATACCAGTAAGTCGAACATCTCAAAACAAGTCCGAACACCTTAGTTTCAGCCAATCAGGCAGCTAGACACTTGAAAATACCAGTAAGTCGAACATCTCAAAACAAGTCCGAACACCTTAGTTTCAGCCAATCAGGCAGCTAGACACTTGAAAATACCAGTAAGTTAGTTTCAGCCAATCACATCTCAAAACAAAGTCCGAATCTCAAACACCTTAGTTTCAGCCAATCAGGCAGCTAGACACTTGAAAATACTTTAAATCTCAAAACAAGTACCCTTAGTTTCAAGTCGGACATCTCAAAACAAGTCCGAACACCTTAGTTTCAGCCAATCAGGCAGCTAGACACTTGAAAATACCAGTAAGTCGAACATCTCAAAACAAGTCCAAACACCTTAGTTTCAGCCAATCAGGCAGCTAGACACTTGAAAATACCAGTAAGTCGGACATCTCAAAACAAGTCCGAACACCTTAGTTTCAGCCAATCAGGCAGCTAGACACTTGAAAATACCAGTAAGTCGAACATCTCAAACAAGTCCAAACACCTTAGTTTCAGCCAATCAGGCAGCTAGACACTTGAAAATACCAGTAAGTCGTCTCAAAACAAGTTCGAACACCTTAGTTTTTTGTATGACAATAGTTTATGTGTGGTACTAGGACGACTTCTTTTAGTGGCATTGCAGAAGCTGGTATGAGGAAGAGGATCAATTTATATGGATAGACAACTTCTTTATTGCAGTTTATCGTTATTCGGTTTAGATGCTAGTACTGTTATCAAGCCTATGATACACATTATACACAAGGAGACTATATATGTGAAGGGTATTTGAGTTGATGTACAGTGTACCGTGATGAGATTATTGATGGTTGTTGTGATTACAGGTACTAGGATGTCTCACTGTATTATTACAGCACACAGACCCGTGAAGGTCCGGGTTAGAATATTGGTCTTCAGTAACCCATGCTTTTCTACCCGTGAAGGTCCGTGTTAGAATATTGGTCTTCAGTAACCCATGCTTGTCGTGAAGCGACTAACTAACGGGTGGTCAGACTCGCTGACTTGGTTGACACATGTCATCGTATCCCAGTTGTGGAGATCAATGCTCATGCTGTTGATCACTGGATTCTCTGGTCCAGACTCAATTATTTACAGACCACTGCCAAATAGCTGGAATATTGCTGAGTGCGGCTTTAAACAACCAACCAACCAACTACAACATACAGCTTTCCAATTGTGGTTGGTCTTTAACTTGTTTTGAGGAGTATGTTAACATTTGGGCTATTCCTTATTGAAGTTTGGGCAGGTTCCATGTGTCAGACTGGTCTTAGAATTGAAAATGGCGTAGCATGCCTACTGCACTAGGATCTGCTGATCATAGGTTGAAGTTTTAAATCCAGATTGTACTGTCTGTAAAAGTCTGTGAAAAATCATTTTTCTGGACTGAAGCTAATATAGTCAAATATTTCATCCAACTCTCCCTCAACTGAGTCAAATGAAACATGTTTCAATGCCAGATTTAGACTAGTCAGCTTTTGGTGAACACAATTAACATCTGTAAATCATGTTATGGAATTAATGGTTGGTTGGTTGTTTAACGCCGCTCCCACAATATACTAGCTGTATGACAGCAATTAAAATTAATGAATGCAGCTGTGCCTTTGAACTTTTACAAAAACTGTTGACATGGAATTTCATGGTTTGTTTTTAGTGATACACCTTAATATTATCATCACGAACCTAGAAGCACTGTCTTGACTTTGTGCTTAATTGCAATATACATTGTGAACTTGGTTAAGCAAGACAATTGTTTCTGCCCAGACATTGTCCTAATAATCATGTGTCCAGTTCAGAACCCATAAGTTCATTAATGCAGCAATCACCATTAACTGCATCCTCATGTAACAGCCTAGTCTGTCTCACAGTCCCTGAACGTCATTCTATTTCCTACTGCCTGGCCCTCCCTGCAATGCTGAAATCCTAAATGAAGCAAGTCTAGATTTCCTCAGGCTCTGAATTCCCCCATCTCACTGGGGTTTCTTTTCAATTTAAATGGGATTATTTGTTCTGTAAGAATTATGTATATTCAGAGACTAAGTATTTGTTTAGTGACAGCCATACATGTTCCAAATCCTGTCATGGGACCAGTGAAGGTCCGGGTTAGAATGAACCTTCAGTAACCCATGCTTGGTGTAAGAGGCGACTAACGGGATCAGATGGTCAGGCTCGCTGGCTTGGTTGACACATGTCATCGGTTCCCAATTGCGTAGATCGATGCTCATGCTGTTGATCACTGGATTGTCTGGTTCAGACTCGATTATTTACAGACTGCCGCCATATACTTTGAATATTGCTGAGTGCGGCGTAAAACTAAACTCGCTCACTCCTGTCATGGGATTCGAACTATAGACATTCTGATCCAAGGATGGACTCCACATGAGCGGGGAAGTCGACACATTAATGTGATGTGAATGTCATCTGTAGGATGATGTCTGACATTTACTCCATGATTTACAGAATATATAACAAGATAACTGGGAGCTTTGCTCTGGTTCTGACATGTAAGCAATTCTATTTTTCTGTTGGATGAAAGAGGTTTCACTGTTTGTGGATAAATATTTCATTCTTAATGTTTATACTTATCTGATGTGGATAAAAGGAAGCTGTTACATGCACTTACGTCAAATGTTTTAAAGCTTACAAGAAACCTGTTATCTCATTCATGCCACATGCTTAATGAATGGTAGAAACTAATGAGGACATATCTCTTAGATAATGATGGAACGCTGGAAACACTCTTCCTGAAAGGATTATCTTTCTGCTTACTGACTTAAATATTTACAATTTCACAGAAACAAATTTGTTGAACAGCATATGCTGAGTTGTTGGAGGCAGCTGCCTGAGAAACAGTTGTCTATATTTCTTTAGCTTTACAGTTTGCCAAATTGAAGTATTTTATATTTATTTATGGGTTTTATGCCTAAGTGTCTAAGTTGACCATTAATGCCTAATGGAGATTACTGTTTGATCTAGAATGACCAGGGCTGCTTTGTGTGTGGCTTTCTTCCAATGGGCATGTGTTATACTGCCGTACTACATGCCTAAGCGCTGTGGGATACAACAACTGACCAGTGGTCAGCTGGTGGTAGCCTTCCCATGTGTTTAACGTCAATAACAGGTAGTTTCCACTTCCCGGGTGTGTTTGACTAACCAATCCTAATGTATACATCTTGTTGACCAGGTCCAGAGACTGACCAGTGGTTTGTAGAAGTGTCATAACACAGGATAGATGGGCCAGATGGCCCAGGTCACAACCTAGGCCCGAACCCAGTCCTTGATATCACTACTGATAAAGCGACATAAAGTGTGGGTTTTAACCAGACATTGATGTCAATATCTCTGTTGTACTGAGTAATAATTATTCAAATAATTATTTACCAGACATTTCAAGTAAAGCACCAGGTTGGTGTTGTCTGCCATATGTACTACCCCAATACAGAATCTCTGTGAGCAGACCAAATGGCAAGTAGTGGCTAATGTGGACCAACAGATGTCAATATAGCAAGGTGCCCAAATGTTTGGCAAGTCCAAAAGTGCATTTTCTTGACTGTGGCCAAAGGTATGGTTGCAGTGAGACCTGGGCCTCCTTTAACAAGCACTAAGGTGATCGTAAGTCGCTAAGGTGATCGTAAGTCGCTAAGGTAACCTTAGTGCAGTGTTAGAGAATGGGAGTTAAGATTAACCATAGTAAAGGTTGCTTCGAGAAAGGAGACCCTGGATGTGTGAGGCCTAAAAACCGTCGCCTAACACGATTGTCTCATTACATTAATTGCACAATAGATTCACATCTGCTCTTGTTAAGAATAGGTAATTCCTGACAATAACAGGAAGAGAATTTCAACATCTGTTGACTCTGTGCAGCCAGCCTGAAAGCGAGGCATCCTCTGAAGGATGTTGCCGTAGAAGACACAGCAAGGAATGAGATGGCCAGGGTGACATGGGCTACGCAACACCAGGAATGAACTGTGTATCAGTGGCCTAACACCATGTTAGCGGGCAAATCAATGGTTTGCACACATTTGGCATCTAGTTTCTGGTGGTGAGACAGGGTGAAAATTGTTGACCATAGTCGGTATCGGTAGTTGAGCTGTTACAGCTGCAGTTTAGTCGTTACAGCTGCAGTTGTTGTCACAGTGTGGCTCTGTGTCACACACAACAGATGAACGGAGTTGGAGATTGGAAATGGACATGTTACTTACCAGCGATATGCTGATGAAGTTTTGCCTCCAGTTATTGTTCCATTCACTTTAATTATCGGCAGACAATTTGAACTGTCAGATGATGATGCCAGACCACAAGGTTTCCAAGTCGTCCCTGACAAGAAGGCATTCTGACATTAATCTGGCCCACTGATAGTCCGGAGTGGAGATTCCTTACAATGACCATGGGCAGTAAGTATATGCTGGAGACCAAGCACCCATGGCCCAGCTTGAATATGGACCCTGCTATACCACTACCAACAAAGTACAACAGAACAGGTTATCATTCTCCAGTTGGTATATGAACCCTGCTATACCACTACCAACAGAGTATAGCAGAGCAGGTTATCTTTCTACAGCTGGTATATGGACCCTGATATATTGCTACCAACAAAGTACAGCAGAACAGGTTATCATTCTCCAGTTGGTATATGAACCCTGCTATACCACTACCAACAGAGTACAGCAGAACAGGTTATCATTCTCCAGTTGGTATATGAACCCTGCTATACCACTACCAACAGTATAGCAGAGCAGGTTATCTTTCTACAGCTGGTATATGGACCCTGATATATTGCTACCAACAAAGTACAGCAGAACAGGTTATCATTCTCCAGTTGGTATATGAACCCTGCTATACCACTACCAACAGAGTATAGCAGAGCAGGTTATCTTTCTACAGCTGGTATATGGACCCTGATATATTGCTACCAACAGAGTACAGCAGAGCAGGTTATCCTTCTACAGCTGGTA